CAAGTAATGTTTGTATCCACGATAAGTACATGGTTTCAAATACAATCTACATACTTTTGAGTCCAAAAGATCTGAATACTTGCATAATTCACAATCATATGTCTAACAGACTACTTCCCATGTTGAACAGGAATTTGAAACTTAATCCAAGACATAATTTTTATTCATCCCTCTGATAATCTGTTCTTCCCTCATTTTGTTTCATCTAAATCAATCACATCACCACCCACACAACAGATCAAACTAAAAACTTAAATACAAACATTGTTAGTATTTCTGCCTTACTACTTCCACAAGTAAATCCCACTGGCTTCCTATAGACAATAGATTTCATATATGCGAAGTCTTGGTGTCCCCTACAAAATATCTCAATCCAAATTGCCTTAACCTGCTTCCTGCTGCTTCACACTACCTTCCTAAAAGGGTTTTCTCTTCTCTCTCTTGCCCTGCTGTAAGATGTTTTCTCCCTAGTAGACGAACTGACATTCAGAAATATAAGTCAGATCTTACTACTTTTCCACACGGAGGTACATAATCTTGCTTCTACCTGCCTTTCAGGAAGCTCCTACCTGAAACTATGCTGCTAAGGGATCTCTGTGATCTTACCCCACTGACCGCTCTGCTATCCTTGCTTGATGGTCTATCAGCTGTTTTCTGAGCCTGTGATCTCTGTCAAAGTTTGGTGTCCCCCTTCTAATCAGTTAGTTTTCACCCTAAATGTTACCTTCTCAAAGAATTTACCAATCTACGTAACATGTATTTGAACTAAAAGTCTTGAACACATGCTTTGTTTTACTATCTTCATTACATTTACTATTATAAGAAATATTTTTTAGACCTTAGTTTACTAGATTTACTCTCTGACTCCACTCTCCAAAATGATGCTTTTTGAGAGCATAGATTATGCTATGTGTGTGCCACCATTTTTTTCTTTATGAAATCTAGGAATACCTATAACATAATCTGTACAATAACCATCTGAAAATTCTGTGAGTGTGTGTGTCTATATCTTCATGAAAGAAATAGAGGACTATGCCATGTTCATAGATAAAAAGATTTATTACTTTTGTTTAAAGATATTAATATTTTTGATAAATAACTTATAGAAACAATGTAATAATCATCAAAATTCTCATGGCATTTGTACAGATGGGTTTTCATGAGCTGAAAAGTAGAAAGGTATAAATTATCAAGAATATGGTATAAAAGAATTTATTTCTTGCCTCTACCCCTACACCACACCATTACCTGGTTAAATCTGAATTCTCAGCTTAAAAGTCACATTTTCAGGAACGCAGTCTGTATCTTTTCTAAACATCTACAACTGTGTTTCCATTATTCTGTTGCAATTGTTTTTCCCAACATTGATAATGACACAATTGACAAATTCGGTAGGCTTTTACCAATGCATAAAGCTCTGAGACATTTAGATATCTTTTTTTCTTAAAGACCTCTCCTCTTCTTTTTGGCATACTCATTTTCCTTCTCAGTGTCTGACCGTTACTGCTCCAGTTTTGATCAACTATTTGTCATCCATCAGCAAATGTTGGCAACTACAGAGGTCGGTCCTGAATTGGTTTTTACTATTCTTTAAGTAACATCCAGGATTTCATTATAGAATTAAACTAGAGCTCTGTGTATGTGTGTATACACAGAGAGTGTAAAAAATGTATGCACATTTTAAGAAAGGAAAAATTTATTGAAATTGCAATATTCAGTATATACTGATAATGTTTGTTACCTTGTATATTGTATCTTGTATCTCTTGTAATTGCAAAAGTCAAATGTTACTTGAGTATCTCAATTTTCATAGAGTTTTCGTTCTTTTTAAAAATGTGCATACATTTTTTGGCACTGTTTGTATATGTAGTGAGATAGAGCATTTTTGCCACTCTGCTATAGTGCCAGGCACCTGAATTTTAATGAAAGCACTCATATATTTGGTTTTCTGATTAAAATTTATAATATAACCTTAGGTCTGTCAAATTACACTTGTGTTCATTTGTGTTAATGTGTGCATTTATTTGTATCATCCATATTTCTTTTTTATTTTTATTTATTAATTTATTTTTGCAGTTTTTGGCTGGGGCTGGGTTTGAACCTGCCACCTCTGGCATATGGGGCTGGTGCCTTACTCCTTTGAGCCACAGGCGCTGCCCCATATTTCGTTTTTAACTATATCTTTATTTATTACTTTAAAAGCTTGGTTTCTGAGCAACACCAATAGCTGAGTACTTTATAGCAGTGGTATTATAGAGATAAACAAAACAGTCACTTTCTTTACTGCCATGAAGTTTACAATCTAATGAGCAATTAAACATGATTAAATTATAAACTTCACTTATGTTAAAATTATCCTACTGCCTAAACAGAAACATTCTTTTTAATGTGTTAAGAATCAGGTAGGGTTCATTATAAATGGAAATTCCTGAGGTTAACTGCCCAACCCCTCTCCTTGTACTAAAAAATGTTACTTTCTTATTGTTTCAGAATATCACGGTGGTACTTATGTTAAGGTTATGTGAATTGCTTTTGTACAGTTTGAGCCAGTTATAAGCATGCCCTTCATCCAGATACTGTGCATTGTACTTATTAGATGTGAATTTGCCCCTCCTCTTGGTCCCCTCCCACCTACTTGATTTCTGTTGAGTTTTACTACCATATGTGCATGAGTGTGGATGGATTTGTTCCAATTTAATAGTGAATACATGTGGTGATTGTTTTCCAATTCTTGTGATCCTTCGCTTAGAGGAATGGTCTTCAGTTCTAACCAGGTTGTTACAAAAGGTATTAGTTCACCATTTTTTATTGCTGAGTACTACTTAATGGTGTACATGTACATTTTATTAATCCACTCATGGATTGATGTGCACTTGAGTTGATTTCACATCTTCATGATTGTGAATTGTGCTGTAATAAGAGTGCATGTGTCTTTTTGATAAAATGACTTTTTTTTTTATTTGGATAAATGCCCTATAGCAGGATCTATGGATTAAATGGTAGGTCTACTTCTAGTTCTTTGAGGTATCTTCTTACCACTTACCACAGAGGTTGTACTAGTTTTCAGTCCCACTGGCAGTGTACTTTCTCTCTGTATCCAACACAAGCATCTGTTCTTTTGAAACTTTAACAACATCATCAGAATATTAGGAGGTATACGTGCTTTGATATGAGCCATTCTCAGTAGTGTTGGGTGAGAATCTCACTGTGGTTTGATTTACATTTCCCTCATGATTATAGACATTGACCACTTTCCCCCATGTTTATTGGCCCTTAGTTTATATCCTCATTTGAAAATACTCTGTTCATGTCTTCTACCCATCTTTTAATGGGTTCCTTGACTTTTCTCTTGCTGATTTGCTTGAGTTCTTTATAGATTACAGTTATAAGTTCTTTATCAGATGTGTAGCAAGAAAATATTCTCTCCCACTCTATAAATCGTCTATTTTCTCTATTGACCATTTCCTTGGCTCTGCAAGAGATTTTTGAATTAATGAAGTTTCCATTCATTAATTTTTGTTGTTGTGATTGCCTTTGGGGTCTTCTTCATAAATTCTTGGCCTAGGCTAATTCTATAAGAGTTTTCCCAACATTTTATTCTAGAATTCTTACTAAGTTTCATACTTAGTTTTAAGTCTGTTATCTAACTGAATTAATTTTTGTGAGTGTGGACCCTGCTTCAGTCTTCTACATGTGGCTGTCTAATTTTCCTGGTATCATTTAGGAAATAGGGGTTCTTTTTCTCACTGTATGTTATTGTCTGGGTTTTCAAAGATCAGATGGCAATACGAGAATGATTTTATGCCTGGATTTTGTATTCTGATCCATTGGTCTGTGTCTCTGTTCTTGTGGCCATATCATGTTTTGTTTACATTAGCCTTTGTAGTATAACTTGAAGTCTGGTAAAGTAATGTCTCCTTATTTTTCCTTTATGCATAGGTTGTTTTGACTATTTGGGTTCTTTTCTGGGTCCATATGAAGCATAGAATTATTTGTTCTAGATTGGTGAAAAATGATGTTGGTATTTAAATGGGAATTGCATTGAGTCTATAGATCACTTTGGTAGGAGAGATATTTTAACAATGTTGATTCTGCGGATCCGTGAGAAAACCATCTGGTCATATTATGTAAAACTATGGCCTATGTGGTGAAGTTCAAATGCCTTACTGTGGCATATAACAGTGTCTCAGGCCACCTTTTTCCCTTTTATCATCATTTTCCATCATTGTCTGATAAATACCTCAATTTTCATCTTTTCCATAATTATATGCTAGGAAAATTCTTTAGTTTTGAAGTCAAGGTACTCCTCAGTCTGAGACCTTCGTCTTACTTTTCACTATTTTCCTAAATTTATGCCAATCTTTAGAAAAATTCTACTGTTTTGTTATTTTTCTAATGTTCTGTCTTTTCAACTTCGTGAATTATTAAATTTAGAATTGAAGGTCATGTTAGAAATATATCTTGAAGAATTTATTTTTTATATGTATATCCCCAGCTCCAAAAATGTGCCCAGAGTATGTAACGTGAGTTCAAGAGATACCTGGTAAATTCATGAAAGAATCAAGAAAATGACTTCATTTGAGAGGAATATATTCTTATATTTGTAGTAACTACTTTTGTTATTTGTTAGCTCTTTGTTTCTTGTCATATATATATATATATATGCTTTCTTGTTTTAATTTCCTTATTAGCTTGTATGGCCTAGGAGAGGAGTGACTGTTCCCTTATCTTCTTTCTTTCTTTCCCTCCTTCCTCCCATCCTCATTCCTTCCCTTCTTTCTTTCCTTCCTTCCTTCCCTTTTCTCTTTTTATTCCTTCCTTTACATTTTCTTTCCTTTAAGTTAATTTCTTTCTTGTGTTTACCAGGGCAGCTTGCTTTGAATAGGAAATTTATTGAACTGATCTGAGAAGAGATATAGAAAAAGAGAAAAAAAAGTAGAAGGATGGGATGATATAAAATCACTGGTCTTGATGATCACAGAACACCACCTTCTAAAATGTTATTTTTCAGTTAGTCTCCTGAGAGCCCCTTTGACATCCTTGTTTCTCAGACTGTAAATGATGGGGTTTAGCATGGGTGTCACTGCTGAGTAGAACACAGAGATTATTTTATCCCTTTCATTCATTATCTTGGAGTTTGGCCTCATGTATGCAAATATTGCTGAGCCATAGAATAGAACAACAACAACGAGGTGGGAACCACAGGTGGAGAAGATCTTGAGCCTACCCTCTCCAGATTGCATCCGGATCACAGTGGAGATGATATTCCAGTAGGATACAAGGATGAGGGAGACGGGAGCCAGAAGAATGACCACAACCATCACAAAGATGGCCATTTCTGTGCTGTATGTGTCTGCTGAAGCCAGCTTCAGGAGGGCAGGAGGCTCACAAAAAAAATGGTTAATGATATTGTTTCCTCGATAGGGCAGACGCAATGTGAATGTGGTGTCTACCAGAGACACAAAAGCTCCACTGGCCCAGGACCCTGCAGTCAGCTGGACACATACCCAGTGTGTCATGATGGTGGAGTAGTGCAGAGGCTTGCAGACAGCCACATACCGGTCATAGGACATCACTGCCAGAATTGCACACTCTGTACACCCAACCAGAAGTAAAACAACTATCTGTGTTGAGCATCCAGCAAAAGAAATGATTTTCTTCTTCACCAGGAAGTGGACTAGCACCTGGGGGACTGTTGTAGTAGAAAAACAGAGATCAGCAAAGGACAAGTTTCTAAGGAAAAAATACATAGGTGTGTGGAGTCTGGAGTCAATGAGAATAAGTAAAATGATCAGCAGATTTCCCAGCAAAGTCAGCAGGTAGATGATCAGGAACAGGAAGAAGAGCACAACTTGTGTTTGTGGATCCTGTGACAGGCCCAGCAAGACAAATTCATTTATGTAGGTTTGGTTCTCTTCTCCCATGAATGCTTACTCCTGTTTGTAGGTTAGCAACAAGAAAAGAAACCCATGTTGGTCACCTGTAAACATTCTGATAAGATAGAAGAAGCCTGACTAGAGACATCACTTAGTAGACTGTTCCAGAGGGAAGGTGGGTTTCAGATAAAGAAAAGGGAAGGAAGGATATAGCTCAAGAGTATGTCAGAGAAAGAAGTACTGGGGCCCTCCAGGGAGCTCTTTGAGAAAAACTGTGAAGGAGAGAAGTAAGAAGAAAATGAAAAACATAAAAAAGATACAGATGAGGATCAAACCCAAAACGGCTTGGAGCCCAGGAAAGTGTATGGGAAGGATTCCTTTCTCTTCCAAACACTGCTTTGGTGAACTGTGGACTACAAAGTTCCTTGGAAACTTTTCTATTCCCATGAGCCAAAGCACTGAAGTAACCAGAGGTCTGTGGGGGAGAACTTAAATGATACCAGATCTTGGATAATCCAGTCAGTGTCTGCCTCCAAGAAGAGTGACCCAAGAGACTAGAAAAACCAGGTTTCTTCCATTCAGACTCTCCTCCCCTCCCCTGCCCTCTACAATTAGAAAAGCAGTTTGAGCCAGGAATATGGGGTGTACCCACCTCTTCTCAGCTGGAATCTCCTCCAGTCTAAGATTCCCACAGAAAGTGGGGCCCATTTCTTTCCCTTTGAGGAGGTCTGCGGTAGACCTAGGGTCCCCAGTCTGGGAGCTTCCTGCCTGCTGGCATATCCTGGACACTCACACTCCTGGGGCAGATATGAAGGCTGGATCCATGCCCCCAGGACTTGAATGGGTTTCTAGGGGACACAGAGATGAGATTTGGGAGCTGGACTAAAGAGGCAAGGGAGCCCATGTGGATTGAACAGATGGGAGAATACAGTACAGTCCAAAACGTGGCAATGTGGGAGAGTGCCCATACTCTCCTCATAGGAAAGCCATGCTGTTGGACAAGTTTGGGTCCTCTGGAGATAAAATCCTAGCTTACAGTACCATAGCAACTGAAAGTGTGCATTCTGGCACCCATTTGCAACTGGGCACTGTAGGGCAGGGGTTACACAAATGAGAGGAAACACACTTCTGACAGCTAGTTGAAGGATTACGATCCTTTTCTTAGGGGCAGTTATCCTAGTTTGGAAAGCTGACCCATACCCTCCTCCCAGCAACTTGCCCTAGCGGCCAGGAATAATGACCATTGGCACCATGAGCCTCCAACCCACCCCACACTCCCAAACTAACCTCTCCCAACCTTATTCCTCCACCCATCATGGTTGTGGTGAAGAACAAGAAACCCCCTGAGAGCTATAGGGATACTCCCAAAGCCTGGGGAATTCAGTACTTTTCCTGCAGGACTAGAGCTTATTACAGGCATAAAAGAATTTTCCTACATGCATCTACCACTAACAGGAAGGAAAATTCTATAACTCATTATAGCATCTACTGACTCAATCAAACAGATTATGGCTGATTTTTATCCATAAGTATTACCCATCATCTTGGAGATTAACCTGGTGGACCCAATACAATTCACACTGCTGGGAAGAGATGAAGATAGCAGGATAGAAGCAACCTGAAAGACACTGCTTTCTAGAAGAGAAATGAAATTTAAAGGCAGCTCATTCTGTCAGGGTGCTTCTTCTTCTGCAGACTCTGGGCTGATCAAGGAGCTGCTAATAATCTGTACAGAGACATTCCTCCAGAGACATGGTACAGCAGAGCTCTGGTGCCTACAAACCCAGAATTCTATGAGTGTTGCCATGTGGATCACTCTGGCACATGAAGCCAGGTCTGCTTGTCACCTAGCCTTTCAGCATTAGCTTGTGCATCACTCCTGCTGGGCTGAGAAGGAAATAGGTGCTCAATCCTGTGTGTTATACCCTGTAACTGGGGGCTAAACAGGCCTACTTCTAACATGGAAGCCAAAGAGAGGAGCCTCAGATACCCAGGCACCACTTGGGAGCATAGGGTGACTACCTTAGTGAGGTCTAGGTATGGAAGGAAAACCTTGGCCTACCAGCAGCTCCAGCTCACGTGTGTGAACCTTGGGCTACTGAGACAAACCTCTGCCTGTTTGGGCACCAGATAAATCCAAATTGGTGGAATAGCACCTCCCATAAGTGTGGCTCTATTCCCCAAATCCCTAGAGCCAGTTCTGATGTTCTTTCTCTACCTAAGTCTAATGCTCTTCTGTTGTACCTTCAGAGCAAACACTGGGCCTACAATTCTACTTTTGAGACTCTGGAGATATGCTTGGGCCCCAAGAGCCTACCACTGAGTCCTCACCATTACTCCTGGGCCAGAAAAGCCTTCCCAAGATCCAACATATCACACAGGACTCCCCAGCTCTGAGAAGCTATCAGTTCTGGATTTGGTTTGAGAGTTTCCGGCGAAGAAAAACAGATGTCCTACAATCCTATTACCCCTGAGCTTAGAGAAGAGAAGCCAGATGAGAAGAAAGTAACAAAAGTTCCTGGAACAAGGAAAAAATATTTCAATACACCCAAGGGGATATAATGGGCACTGCAATAGTGGCCTCTTTCCCAAGAAAATTGCTAAAGTGACAGAAATGAATTTAAGATATAGAATGTAAATAAGATGAATGGAACTGAAGAAAAAGTTGAAAACCAGCCAAAAGAGGCCAAATATTTATTTTAGAAAATAGATGAAAAAGTGACAACATGACTAGAGAGCTAGATAGCATACAAAAGGATATTATACAACATAAAGAAATAAAAGAGCCATTTAAAAATTTCAAAACACATCAGAACTTTAACAGCAAGCTAAACTAAGGAGCAGAAAGAATGTTAGAGATTGAGGTCAAGGCCTTTGAGACAAGTCAGTTATTCAAAGAGGCAGAGAAGAGTATTAAAAACTAAAAAACCATTGAGAGAGAGATAAGATTTTGTGAAGTGA